ACATTTCTATTTATTTGAATTATGGTGGATTACAAACTTGTCTTTTTTGTCTTATTTTTCTCATGATTATTGTTTAAAAGTAAACTACCCAATCAAATTGCTCTGAGGCCTCGGCCATTAGTGGCACTGAGGGCAAATGGTTGGGGACCCCTCTAGGTTTGGGGGCCCTACGCAGTCGCCTACTTTTGCCTAATGACAGCGCCGCCTCTGCGATGAAGTCAAAGTTAATGATGCCTATACACATAGAGTAAATATTATTTGTTCCAGTCTTACTACTACGAAGTGTAAAAAATATTACTTCACCCTTACAGTGTTAGGCCAAATTAACACTTTGTCAAATATGAAAAAGTTCAGATCAGCCACACATCTGTCAGTCTGTCCTAGGTTGAGCTACTGCTATCACCACTGTAGAGAGGAGACACTGAATAACAAAATGGGCTAATATAAATAGATTTGTAGCCCTGACAATGACAAATGATTGCATACAAAATATATATCATTGTCATGAAGCAATTTTCCATTATTTTAGTATTCCATCAGAAATGTGCTAAAACATGCCCTGTCATGGTTGAGGATCAAGTACAGCACAGAACATCACAAATGAATTCAGATACAACCAGGGAGTTCAGATGAATTTTAAAAAACAATTCTCTTGAACCACTCTCAAAAGCATGTGTAGACTTATGGAATAGCTTAGATGATCAGATCAAAGCTTGGACTAACTTGGTGCACTTCAAAAAAGAACAAAAAACTATTTAAAATCTTACAGAAATGATGTACCTAGAAAACTAGATCCATTGTCTTCACAAGTAAACCACGACCATTAATTAAACACATGCTTTTCTTTAACATTACCTTTTCTTTTGATACGATCATAGTTTAGTTTAGTTTAGTTTAGTTTAGTTATTTTACGGTCATAAACAATAAATTTTGTGCCTTCTTTGTTGTTATTATTAGTTTGTACGACCATAAACAAAAACAAACAAACAAAAAAATCCTTACATTTTTCTCATTCCCATTTGCTTATTTAGATACAATTATAAACGATAAACTTCTGTGCCTTCTTTATCATTATTATTAGTTTGTATGACCATAGTATGAAATTTATTTTGCTCTCTGTAAATATTTGTAAACTTCCTTGATCAATGTACATAAGAAACCACATCATTTTTGAAACTATGTCACGAACAGAGGTGGGTTAATATAATTGTTTTTCTTCTTCCCACTTCTTTTCGAGAAACGTGCTTTTCTGTTGATTACAATGTATATGTAGTATGTGTATGATTATTGTTTCTCTCTTGGCACAAACTCAAAATAAAAAATGAATCAGTCAATCAAAAATCAACATAAACTGGCCACAAAAGTACAAATCTAGTCTTTATACTCTTGTTTGGAAGATGATACAGAAACATGTTTTATTATTAATGAAGTCTTTTTGCATGGTTACGGTCACATTTTTGTGTAGTACTTTTCCATCTTCAAAGCACTTGAAGCACTTTACATCAAGGAACCACTCACCCGTCCACATACACATTTATACACCTGTGCACGCAGACACTGGAGGCGAAGTGGGTTAAGTGTCTTTCCCTAGGACACAACGACAATGACGGCATTCACCAGCAGGAGCGGTAATCTCACCGTCAACCTGTGGGTCTGTGGATCTATATGAATGTGTATGAATAAGTCGGGATGTAACAATAACTGAAATATGGTGATATCGTATTGCCAAAAATTCTCACAATAATATCGTGGACTATCATAATATATCGAACCACAAGTTTATTTGCTTAAATTCATTGTCATGGTGCAGCAATAGCTAAAACACAGAGGGAACTACATAGGCCATGATCCTTTGCTCTATTTCAGTCCAATCTACATGCTGAAATAACTGTTATTAAGCAATTTTTGAAGCCTACAATAGGGGTGTGCAAAAATATTGAAATATTGATATATTGTATCGTTTAATGTGATGACATAGTATTGATGTCTTGAGCTACTGTAATTATATATCACCAAGTGCATTTTTTGGTATATTTTGCTGAATTATTTAGTTACAGCACTACAGTGTTGTTGCTTGTTAAGAGAAAGGAAACTCTTATGCAACACATTTCACATTTTCACAGTTTTGATGAGTAAAATGGGTGTGTTTCATATGAACTTTGCACAAGAAGTGGTTTACCAAAGACTTTTAATATCACAGCCATGATTTAGCCGTTTTTTAAAATTGAACCGCGCACTGTACCGAGATATGTATCATATCGTGGCCTATGTATCGAGGTATGTATCGTATCGGCAACTTCTTACTGAAGCGCAGCCCTAGCCTACAATATTACAATAAATATCGTACCGTGAGATGCATATCATGAAAATATTGTAACGACAGAATTGGATATCATTACATCCCTATGAATAAGCGATACATGGGTGAGTTGTTCCTTGACTGTGGGATTTGAACTGCCAACCCACCACAACGGACGAACACTCCAACGGAGCAAACGTCGCCTCATACTTGATATCAAAATCTCCCATATTTCCAAAACAACCATCGCACCATTTGTCAATTTTCAATATCTCGTTCTAGTAGCTGTGCCATCTTGACAACCAAATCCCCAATATTCATCTTTTAAACATTGAAGGATAGATTCTGCTTGAACGCGGCAGATAGAGAAGTCAAGGCTAGCAGTTACGTAATGAACACTAATATAAAAATGTCTCGGTGTGAAAAATAAGTGTTATGCAAGACTAAAGAGTGGATTCTACAGTGAGACAGAAAACATGGACAGATACATTAGGGATTTTGTGAAGCGGCCATTGTTTCTTTCATTGGGTTAATTGAATTATTCCTGCATTTGCTGAGTGGGTCAGTCAAGCAAACAGAGTGGAGCCAGAGAACAGGTGGTCCAAGATAGAAGCACTCCCATTCGGATCAATATGTTCTGAGAAAGACCGTGCTTTAGCCTTGTTTACTGAGCGTGGAGGGAGGAGGGGAGGAGGCCAGCAAAGAAAACTGATCTGGAGTGATGTAAGATTGCAATTGTGTACTGAAGTGGTTTTCAATCAGCAGCGCAGGTATCACTGGGGCTACTTGGAACTGGACTATTCCAAATGTTTTCCTGGTTTAGATTATTTGGAAAATCATTGTATTGTCGGTGTTTAGTTGTTTTTTTATTGTTATTGCTTAAGTTTTGAATTACATTTGTTTTGGTAATCTGATTCTTTAAAGGTCCTACATTACACAAAATTGACTCTTATGAGCTTTAAGCCATGTTGTAATCTTCTTACCTCAACAAAAACATACCCAGAGTTGTGTTTTGTTTCATTTATGACTGAGTAATCCTTTATTATTCTGTTTCCATCCCCAAGGTTCAAATGTTCTGTTCCACCTATGTCACAAAGCAGTAGTTTTCAAGTTAAAGGGACAGTTTGAAATTTTGGGCATAGGACCTCATTTCCTAGTGAGCCAGAATGTTGGAGACATGTGGAGACACTTTTTTAAATAGTGCAATCCATGTATTTGCAGACTTCGCTGGTGCTATGCTAGGGCATGTCAATGGATATAGTTAGCCTGCCACTAAAAACAGTCTTACCCACTCCACAAAACACCCGACGCAAAATAATTATTGCACCAGACTGTCTATGTAAATGTCTGTGTCGATAAAATAATGTCTGAAATAAAACTAACCTTGCCTCGCATGAATTGTTGCATGTTGAGGGACTATTTTCTCTTATATCAGTCCGCCGCTGCCAAGCTTTCTATCAGGAAGTACAACTCGCTGCTGCTGCTCACACATCCTGGTTTAGTCCTTATTTTGGGCTGGTGCAGTTCCTTATTTTACTCCTGATGATTTTAGCATTGCAAACGTTTAGTCTAGTTCCAGTTCTGGTTTGGACCTGCTTCAACCTTGGTTGAGTCATGTCTTATTTATAATGCAGCTCTGGTGTAATCCTAGTTTATTCTCATTTCATCCTTGTTTTTTTTTTTTTTTCTACCTGTCTAGTTCTGCTTATAGTATTACTTAAAGGTGCACTGTGTAATTGTTCTGGTGGTGGGTGCTTGCCCTGTTTGTTTGCATGGAGATAACTTTGCTTTGCCTGAAATGTTCCTGAGTATATCAAAAATAATTTCGAACTTTTTTTTATTGCTCAAAATTAGTTTAACAATCTGCATACTTACTCTGAGTGGAGTCCTCTTTCCATAGATATGACCTGTAACTTATTCTGGTGGCATCCCCTGCTTGCCTCCATGGAAATAGATAAATAGATATTATTCTAGGTGAAGCAATAACTCTATGGAGCCAAGCAAGTGCCGAAAAGTTCCATAATACACCTTTAAGTGAGTTTCTTTTTAGATTAATTTCTTTATCATTCTTTACAACTTAAATTGCCCTTGTCTGTTTTGCCAGTGTGTATTATGAGAAAAACAAGAAGGGTTTATTAGTGCAGCAGTTGGATTAGAAAATGAATATGGGAAAGAGAGAAGATTACACCCCGCCAGGAACAGAATGTCACAAAATGTGTTTGTATCCTCAACAAGGGTGCCATTTGCTGTAATTATTATTTTGTTTTGTTTAATCTCTTCTCATTTTCACGTTGCTCTATTTCAAATGCCTTTGTCCTTGGCAACAGCACAGGCGGGCAATCGGCCGCTAAAAGCACGCTAGAATCTGAATTTCACACTTGACAATGTACGTGCGAGAGGGACAGGGTGAGACGCTAGGTGTTGGGTGCACAGTCGTCCTCGCAGTCAACTCATAAAGCCCAGATAGAACAAGGTCAGTGAGATTAATATAAAATCATTAACAAGGTAGAAACAAGGGCAGAGGAGAGGGAGAGGAAGGAGGGGCGATGTAGTGGCCGAGTCAAAGCGGGCTCTGGAGAGGGGGGCGGGGCTTATTGGGAAGCTCCAGCCAATCGGGAGCGGGGTGGGTGCGGTTTAGAGATAAGGAAGGAGGGAGCCAAGCGGTGCAGGCACAGACATAGCAGGAGCATGTTAAGAGGAGGAAGAGATAGGACTTATTCAGCAGACAGGGATGAATTGGTACAGTGTGTGCGTGGATGGAAACAGCTTGGTACCTTCAGTTGTATTTATTAGATACTATTATGTGCTATGGAGCTTTAACTGTTAAGCTGATTTGAAAGGAAGGCAATGCAGATAGTTCACCTTGACATACAGCTAATATTGTTCCACCTTGGACTTTTGGATTACAACAAAGAAAAGAAGGCATTACTAACAAAGTGGACTTAAGTATCCGGACTGCTTGCATGGGAAAGGATCGGAGATTTTAAAGTCTTTATCCCTGACCACAGATTTTGGGCTGTGGTGAAACCAACTCAAGCTGGAACCAAGCAAAGCATACACGGGTACCAGACAGGTGCTGCAGCCTAGGGTCAGCCCCAGCAGTAGCAGCAGCAGCAGCAGCAGCAGTGGTGTCATTGGTCCGAGACTGTCCCCCACAGCGGAGACCCCAGCCCCCTCTGACCCCAGGACCATGTCGCAAGCCGGGAGGAGGTTCCACAACAAAAAGGCCGGTATCCGAGCGGCGGTCATCCTCATAGGACTCCTGCATAAGTCCAGGAAAGCCAAAGAGAAAGAGAGGGAGCGGGAGGAGAGCGAAGGGTGGGTAGAGTCTGTGTCTTCTGCTGCTTCTTTATGGTGGTCCATCTGTGCAGACATGGACTTTATTGGCTTGTCATTGTTCTTGGTTAATTACAGCTTGAGACTGACAGACTGTTGTGGTAACTTGTAATTGTAGTGCATTATGAGTCGGGCTTTTTAACAGTTTGACAGTGAATAGGCAACATTTACTTGAGCTTAAAGGTTCACCATGTAACTTTTCTCTTCAGCTTCAGTTTATTTTCCATTTGCAGTGTAAAAAACACATTGGAAAACAGGTTCGTGAAATCTGAAGCCCATTCATTCATTCATTCATTCATTCATTCAAAGCAGATATAATAAATACAAACCACATACATGTTGTTTGGCATTCAACTTCTTTATCGTCATGGAGACAAGCCGGTGACGCCACCATGCCAGGTTACAAGTCAGAGCTGAGGAGAGGTGAACAAGAACTCAAGTTTCTCAAAGTATTTATGAGCAATATAAACACCTCTAGTTTAAGCCTCAACTTAGATAAGTTTAGTTGATTTTCTGTGGAACATTCAAGGCAAAGCAATGACATCACCATGGCGACCAGCAGGTACCAGAAAGTTACACAGTGCAGCTTTAAAGACCAAAAATCTATTCAAATTTCAGTTGGCGACACATCATTCTCTGATCTTTTCCCCAACACAGCAAAGCTTGGGCACATCCTAAAAGCTCTTTAAATTACAGTTTTAAGAAGGAGATGTCAAAGAAAAGAAAAAAAAATAAATCTCCAGTCTCCCAGTGAGTACAAAATGTTCAGAGTTTCTCGTCAATGATCCTCCTCAAACATGTCTTATTACAGACATTGATTCAGTAAGACTTTCAATAAACAGTAGCAGCTAAAGCAAGCAGAGAACAGAAAAGCTGGCAGTTTGACCCCACTCCTACTTCCATCGTGTCCTTTTGCAAGACATTTCACTCACCTCCACAATATTATAAGAATGTACCACCGCCACGTCAGCAATAGAGAGGCAATTGGTTCATATGGTATATTTATTTGAATGGCACATGGTGTATGAAAGAACTATATAAATCCACATTTAATTTGCTTCATCTGTATTGGACTGGAGTGGAAAAGTCTAGTTTTATAACCAGGCCTGTTCACTTCTATGCATTTTAACTACTCATAATGAATCTTGCACAAGCGTGATAGAACTTGACCCATATATGACTTTATTATTAATAGTAACATTCACCTGTCATCTAAGTATAGTGAAGTATATAATAGTCTTCTATATTTCACTCATCCATAAAGTACTTTGTCTTGTTTAGTCTTGGTTCAGTTTAGACTTTTCACTGGTGGAACTGCTCGTCTCCATGGAGATGTGATTGCTTTACCTGGAAGATCCCACAGTATTGCATTAGACTTATCTCACATTTATTCAGTTACATGTTTTATTCCTCAGAAAAGTATACCTTCTTATGAGTAAGACTGATTAATCTGTGTATAATTTGTTCACTCGTTTTTCAATATAAAACCAAAAATAAAAAAATGAAAAAATGTCAGTTTTTTAAATTATTTGTCTCCAAAACCAAAATGAAAAAAGGGATAACGATATTTTTTTTTTCGATTTTGTGTTTAAATGAATAATGGAAAAAACGGATAATGGCCGTATCCCGTTTCCGTGACTTAAACCTTAAACTGTGATGCCGGACTGAACCAGGATTGAACCAGGACTAAACCAGGTCTGGGACCAGACCAGAACCAGACCAGGACTTAGACTGGGACTAGACCAGGACTGAGACCAGGACTGAGAATGGGACCAGACCAGAACTGAGACCAGGATTGAGACCGGGAACAGAACCGGGACCGAGACCAGACCAGGATGGATACCAGGACCAGACCAGGACTGAGACCAGGACTGAGACCAGGACTGAGACTGGGACTGAGACGAGAACCAGACCAGAACCAGGCCGTGATTGAGACCGTGACCACAACGAGCCTGAGACAAAGACCGGGACTGAGACCTGGAACAGGACCGGGACTGAGGCCGGGACTGAGACCTGGACTGAGACCGGGACTAAGGCCGGGACCAGACCAGAACCAGTCCCTGATTGAGACCGGGACTGAGACCGTGACCACAACAAGCCTGAGACAAAGACCGGGACTGAGACCAGGAACAGGACCGGGACTGAGGCCGGGACTGAGGCCGGGACTGAGGCCGGGACTGAGACCGGGACTGAGACCGGGACTGAGAGCGGGACTGAGACCGGGACTGAGACCGGGACTGAGACCGGGACTGAGACCGGGACTAAGGCCGGGACCAGACCAGAACCAGGCCGTGATTGAGACCGGGACCAGACCGGGAAAACGGTTTAGTCCTGTTTTAGACCTGGTTCTGGTGTTATTTTTTTCCATTATTCATTAAAACACAAAATCGAAAACTGAAAAAACGAATCATTATCCTTTTTTTTTTTTTTTTTTTTTTTTTTTTCATATTGGTTTTGGAAACAAATAACGAAGAAAATAGTGTTTTTTTTTTTATTTTCTTATTTTTGGTTTCTATTGAAAAACGAATGAACGAATGATACACAGATTTTGATTCTCTCTAGATCTGATCTGTAACTTCTGTTAAGTGGTGCAACCTGCTTTTCTCTACAGATATAGATAAGTTATTGCTTTCAGTGGAATATTTCAGGCAAAGCAATAAAAGAAAAATGATATAACTCTACTTTAATACAGTCCAACAGCCCTAAGTGAAAATTCAATTCAAACACTAGTATATATTGTGAGAACTGGGAGTATAACCTTTTGTCTCTTTTGGCGTTGTTTAAGCTCGTCTGGGTTTGTGTTCACTTTCCTGGCGGCGGTGCAGTGGGCAGTATATGTGTTTGTGTGTATTTGGGTCAGTCTAAATGACAAATGGAAGATGGAGCGTGTGCAGAGGTGCAGAGGGGGACAGAGGCGACACTCCGAGCTGCTTTTCAAGGCGAAATCTGAGAACGCACAAGAAACCCGGGCTCTTTTGTACACATACGGACGTGAATGGGCTGAAAGAGAGGTGCAGAGAGAGAGAGAGAGAGGGAGAAACAGAGAGAGGGAAGGAGTGAGGAAGAGAGAGAGTGGGACGGAGACAGTGAGCAGGAGAAAGGGTGAGAGGGAGATGAAAGAGAGAAAGACTGAGACAGAGAGGGAGAAAGGGGGAGAGAGGGTTAAGGGGAGAGGGTAAACAGAGGGGAGAGAGAGGAGAGAGGGGGAAAGAGAGGAGAGAGAGAGGGAGAGAAAATAGAAAAAGAGAGGGAGAGAGAAAGAGAGAGACGAAAGGAGAGAGAGAGGGACACAGAGATGGAAGGAGAGAGGGAGAGAGACAAGGGGGGGAGGAAGGAGAGAGAGAGGGAGAGACAAGGAGAGAGAAGAGAGAGAGGGAGGAAGAGAGAAAGAAAATAGAAAGAGAGGAGACAGAGAAAAGGAGAAAGGGAGGAGGGGGGGGAGTGAGAGAGAGGCAAGGAGAGAGATGGAGAGACAGCGAGAGAGAGAGAGTGAAAGAAGGAGAGGGAGAGAGACAGAGAGGGAGCAAGAGGAGAGATAAACAGCAAGGAAGAGAAGAGGGGGGGAGGGAGAGAAAAAGAGAGAGATGTAAAGAGAGAACGGGAGAGAGAAAGAGGAGGAAGGAGAGAGGGAAAGAGGAGGAGGAAGGAGAGAGAGGGAAAGAGGAGGAGGAAGGAGAGAGAGAGAGGGAAGGAAGGAGAGAAAGAGAGACAAAAAGCAGGAGAGAGGGAGAGACAGAAACAGAGAGAGGAGGAAGGAGTGAGAGAAGAGAGAGTGGGAGGGAGACAGTGAGCAGGAGAAAGGTGAGGGGGAGATAAAAGAGAGAGAGACTGAGACAGAGAGGGAGAAAGGGAGAGAGAGAGAAGGTTACGGAGAAAGGTAGAGCCACAGAGAGAAATTGAGAGACAGAAAAGAGAAAGAGAGAGACAGAGGGATAGAGATAGGGAAAGAGAGGAGAGAGGGAGAAAATAGAGAGAGAGAGACAGAGAGGGATAGAGAGAGACATAGAGAGGGAAGGAGACATAGAGAGAGACAGAGAGGGAAAGAGAAAGAGACAAGGAGAGAGGAGACAGAGAAAGAGAGGAGAGATAGGGAGAGAGAGAGAAAGAGGAGGAAGGAGAGAGTGAGAGAGGTAAGGAGAGAGACAGAGAGGGAGAGAGAGGAAGAGAAGAGGGGGAGAGGGAGAGAAACGAAAGAGAGAGATGGAAAGAGAGAGTGTGAGAGAGAAAGAGAAGGAAGGAGAGAGAGGTAAGAAGAGAGACAGAGAGAGGGGGGGGAGGGGAGAGAGAGACATAGAGAGAGAGATGGTGTGAATTGGAAACACAAAGGCACAGGGCAAAGGGTTCGGTCAGTCACACACACAGTATTCTTATAATAGCCGTGCACAAGGCTCTGGAGCACCTGTTGACATGGGCTCATTTAGCAAAGCCACAAAGCAAAGACATTATTGTACGGGCTGGAGCTGAAAGCACTGATTTGTGTGCTCTCCTACCCATTACACTGCCCGCTGATAACATTTCAACTTTTTTTTTTTTTTTTCATCATAACAGTGTAAAAATGTCAGTGTTTGGTGTGCAAAAGCATTCGGATTTTTAACTTTTGACTTGAATAAAAAAAATTCTTCAGCTAGTCTTAACCTTTATCTTAAATATGGATTAGATGTCTTTCTATTTGGACTGTTCGTGTATTAAGAGTTGTGTTATTGTAAAACATTTTTAAACGTTGACTGGTCTACTATTACTTTTTAAATTGTGTCTTTAATTTATTATTGTTGATATATAATTACGTCTTGTATAAAAAGGTCAAATAAAAGATTTTTCTGTCATAAGTGAACACAATTTACCAAAATAAAAATGTAAATGGTCACAGCTTTTTTTTCATTTGTGGGTAACTGACCAGTGGTGCACATAATGAAATGGGAAATGTGAAAACCTGACCTGCTTTTAAAGATATTTTTGGCCTTTCAATTTTGACTGGACAGATA